TTTACTGAAAAATTGAGATTATTCTCTAAGAGTTCCCTCTTCTCCCTTCCTTCCCATCTCATACAACCTCGATGCCTTCTTTGTCTCCTCCTTCACCCCTGGAACACACAATAGGATGGTTTTTCTTGTCTAGGTAAACCCCTCTACATGCATAAATAAATCTCATTCCATCCCATCTTCTCCAGCAAATTGCCTCCTCTATCATGCCCACTTACTCACTTATTCATTCTCTGCCTGTCTGCTGCCTGCTTCCCTACTGCCTACAAACATGTCCATACATCTTTGTGTATTTCTTATCTGAAATAGAAACACTCTGATGTACAGAGCTTCTGAGTAAAGTGATTTATTTGCAAGAGTAGCAATTGCAATCAAATTAGTTCTACTGACACTTCAGTGGTCAGAGCAAATGAATTTACAGAGCTTATTTTTATAGTAAAAAGAAGAGGAACTTACAAGTCGTGGAAAGTGACAAAAATCTCAAGAAACTTGTTATGAACATAATTCAATTCAACAGGCAGGTCAGTTGACCAGTGTACTTTTTAGGACTTTGTACATGCACATTTGTTGCTATTGCCAACTTTGAGGGTGGGCATGTCAGGGGCATAATGGGAGTTTCCAGGGTGGGACAACTATTAGATTTATCATTCTATTTGGTTAGAACTTATGTCTATCATCCTGTCTTTCAAAGGGAGATTGCTGTAGCTAGAAGGTTCTGCAGCAGTATCATCTACAGTTAATTTAAAGGAAATGTAGCTTCTGAGAGGTGCAAAAAGAATTTATAGCCAAAGAAAGAGGAACTTATCCTTAGGAACTTAACTTTTAATAAAAATCTTGGGGGCAGCTAGGTGGCACAGTGGAAAGAACTCTGGCCTTGGAGTCAGGAGGACCTGAGTTCAAATGTGACTTCAGACACTTGACACTTACTAGTTGTGTGACCCTGGGCAAGTCACTTAACCCCAATTGCCTCACCAAAAGAAAAAAAAAAGGAAAAACAAAACAAAAGTCTTCTGATGTCTGACTTAATCTAGTGATTATTTTATTTCTACAAACATATATGTGTACTCTAAATTATCAATAAGTAATAACTACTAATAGAGCCTTAATCCATTAATTCCTTCATCCTATCTTCAAAAAACTCCACTGATCTATCCATACCTGCTAGCTGTCATCCCATCTCTCTCCTCCTTTTTGTGGCTAAACCCCTTAAGAAGGCTTATTATAGTAGGTGCCTTCCAGTTCTTTTCCTCTCACTTCTGTCTTAATGCTTCTGACTTCTGGTTTATTCAACCAGAAGTGCTCCCTCCAAAGTTACTAACAATTTCTTAATTGCTCTATCTGATGGCCTTTTTTCAACCCTCATCCTTCTTGGCCTCTGTGCAGCCATTATTGGTTACCCTTTTCAACTGATACTCTCTTCTCTCAGTCTTTGTGACATCACTCTCTCCTGGTCCTTTGCTTCCCTATCTGATTTAGACTTCTCAGTCTGTTCAATCTTCATCCAGATCACCCTAGGTGTCCCACAAGGCTCTTTCCTGGACCTTCTTCTTTCCTGTATCTATACTACTTCATTTGATGATTTCATCAGCTCCCATGGATTCGATTTACTTTTCTGCTGATGATTCTCAAATTTACTTAATCAGCTGGAACCACTCTGCCAACTCCCAGTCTGACATCTACAACTGTCTATTGGACTTCTAAAATTAAATGTCCCTTGAATATCTTAGATTCAACATTTCCAAAACTGAATTCATTATTTTTCCCCCAAACCTTTTCTTCCTCCTAACTTTCCTATTACTATGGAGGGTACTACAATCCTCCTAGTTACCCAGGCTCACAACCTAACAGTCCCCCTGCCCCATATCTAACCTGTTGACAAGACCTGTCAATTTTACCTTCATAACATTTTTCACATATACCTCTTCTCCCCTCTGACACTGCCACCACTCTGGTTCAGGCCCTCATCACCTCTCACCTGGATTATTGCAACAGCCTGTTGGTTGGTTTCTCCTATTCTAGTCCGTCCTCCATTCAGCTGTCAAACTGATCTTAAAGCACAGGTCTGAAGTCATCTCCTACTCCAGTGGTTCCCTGTCACCTCCAGGATTAAGCATAAAATCCTGTTTGGCATTCAAAGTCTTGTATAACCTGTCCCCTCCCTTCACCTATCAATCTTAACAATCCCTTTCTTCAACCCCTCTTTGATCTAAGGACATTGGCTTCCTTGCTCTTCCTCAAACAGGAAATGCTCTCCTTTATCTCTGCCTCCTGGCTTCCCTGGCTTCCTTCAATTCCCAATTGAAATCCCACCATCTATAGGTCACCTTTCCTGATCTCTCTTAATTCTAGTGCCTTTATTCTCTGTTGCTTATTTCCAATTTATTGTGTATATGACTTGTTTGTACATAGTTGTTTGCAGGTTGTCTCCACCATTATTAAGAGTTTGAACTCTTTGAGACAGGGACTGTCTTTTGCCTTTCTTTATATGTCCAGCACTTACATAATGTCTGGCACATAGTAGGACCTTAATAAATGTTTATTGACTGACAAACAAATCAGAACATTAGAATATAAAAAGAACGGAAAAGAAACTAAATTTCTATAATATAAAGTTCACTTTTAAAAAATATATATTATATTTTAAATGATAATAACAAAATTGCCTTGCCTGTCTATGCTACATTCTGAATTTTCTATAGGGTATTAACATTTTTTCACTGATACTCATTTTTTTTCTTCTTTTTTTCCCCATCACTATCCACCAACCTGTCCCAATCCCCTCAACAGAAGCCTTTCTGCTTGTAACAAATAAACATGTCAAGGCAAAAAAAAAAAATCCAGTTCTAAATTTCTGATCTCATAAACACATTAGCCCTCTCAGAATAACTCTTCTCCTGTACCCTCTGGTTCATTGTCTGCCATCAGGTTGGAAATATGTTTCTTCATTAGTCTTCTGAAGTTATGATAGGCCTACTTCTAATTGTTTTCCTTTACATTATTGTAGGATGATAAGATCATGGATTTAGAGCCAAAAGGGGCTCTAATGATTTGCCTGGGGTCAGTATATAAATTGCTTACCTGGTTCTGCTCATTTTGTTTTATTTCAGTTCATGTAATAGTTTCCAGGTATCTCTAAATCCATCATGTTTGTGATTCTGTCCATTGCAAAAAATATTCCATCACATTCATATGCCATAATTTGTTTAGCCATTCAGAAATTGATGAACAGCCCCTTCATTTCCACTTCTTTTCTACAACATAAAATGCTGCTACAAATACTTTTGTTTATATAAGCCCTTTATGTCTTTTGCCTTCCTTGTGGCAATATGTCTACTGGTGGTATTACTTGCTGATTATGCATAGTTTAGTGATGCTTGGGTCCTAAATTACTTTCCAGAATGGGTTGACCAATTTACAGTTCTACCAACAGTGTATTAGTGTTCCTGTCCTCCCAAAGCCCTTTTATCAATTGTCATGTTCCTCTTTTGTCATCTTTGCCAATCAGAATGTTAATTTAAATCTCAAATTGTTTTAATTTGCATTTCTCTTAATAGTGATTTAGAACATTTTTATCAGATTGTTGAGAGCTTAGGGAGCTCTCTTCTCATACCTCTTCTGTGGGGCTATGCTTGTTCTTTGTTATTTTGTACATTTTTTATTTTTATTTTTTGCACTTCTGCTTTTTTGTGGTGGTTCTTTACATTTATATTGTTGTAGCTAGTGGATATCATATTTTCTTGACTTTACTTCACTGCATTGGACTGTCTTTATGTTTATCATATTCATTGTTTCTTACAACACAATAATTTTTCATTACATTCATGTACTACAGTTTGTTTAGTTATTCCCCAGTCAGTGGGTATCTACTTGGTTTCTAGTTCTTTTTTTACAACAAAAAGTGCTGCTCCATCAACAGTGAATTAGTGTGCCTGTCTTTCTATACCTCAACACTGATTATTCTTGTCTTTTTTCATCTTTGCCAATTCTCTTGGTGTGATGTGAAACCTCAGAGTTGTTTTAATATGTATTTTTTATTATTTATTTGGAGCAACTTTTTTTATACTCCCTGTTGATAGTTTGGTTTTCTTTCTTTGAGAAATGTCTGTTTGAATCCTTTTATCATTTATCTATTAAGGAATGGTTATCACTCATGTTTTTGAACCAGTTTCTTAAATGTCTTACATATGAGATCTTTACCAGAGAATCCTTACAAAGATTTTTTCTCAATTAATTATCTTTTCTTCTAATTTTAGCTCAATTATTCTTATTTGTACAAAATCTTTTCAATTTTATAATACTCAAAATTGTTCATTTTATCTTGAATGACCCTTCCTATCCCTTGTCTGGTCAGAGAGATGGCTTAGCCTATATCCTGTGTCTTCCCCTATCCAGTATTGCTCTGATTTTTATTATGCCTACCTAAGCATAATGTATTTGGAACTTACTGTGGCATATGTTGTGAGATGTTGGTCTAAACCTCAATTCTGCCAGGCTTCTTTACAGTTTTCACAGTAGTTCTTGTTGAATCACCTCATTATTTGTTGTCCTAGGATTTAGGTGACAATTTAGTCTACTTCTTCATGGCCCACATCTCAAACATCCTATAGGACCGCAATACCTTTATGTCCTGCTTCTTGCCTCTGTGCTTCCTCTTTTCTTCTCCAGTTCTCTCTGTGTCTCTGCCTGGCTGGCTCTTATCTGCAGAGAGAATGGGGAACTTTCTATCAGTGAGCACCCAAAACTTTGACTGCAACATTTGGCATAGTAGTCCTACGTAATTATACACAAATGCATTTCTCTTTTAATGAGGTTCCTTTTTTTTTTAAGCAGTTTGTGTACCCAAATTGATTAGGCCTTTTTTTATGTGTTGAAGAGAGTAGAAAGAAGGTTTATATCCCAGGGAATAGGAGACCAAATCTGAAAGAAGAACATTTTGTGTTCAGATCAATTTTAATGGAGAAGTTTTAAAATAAATTTTGTTTAATATTACTTTTTTTTTTAAGGAAAGGACAATTTCAGGCATGAAGAATATCATTGCTGAAATGGAGCAGGCATCAAGGTAATTCTCAATTAGTATTTGGGAAAAGACACAAAGTTTTTATAGACCTGACAAATGACCAATTGCATTATTATTTTTTATATTGTTTCTGAAATTTTATAGAACATGAAATTTTACATTTAGTTTTTGAAACTTTGTCACATCCATCTCTATAAACTTGTGTTTTACTTTTCAGTATTGTCTTTTTTTATTGTTGTTCTGCATCAGTAAAATGCTTCTAATGTCCCTGTTTGACTTGTAAAATAGACAATCAACTGAAGCTCTTATCATGTGTGAACAAGACATTTCCAGAATGCGTAGACAACTGGATGAAACAAGTGATGAGCTTGCTCAGATTGCTAGAGAAAGAGAGGCCTTGGCTCGTGACAATGATAAACTCCAAGAGTCAGTCTCTAGAATTAAGCAGGAAAACCAGGTATTTTTACTGATAGAATCCTTTATTACATGCAAATTTACAATTCTTATCTTAATTGCAAATGAGGTATAGGTTATAATTAGATAAATTAGGATTAAGAAAATGCAGGTTGGTTTAGACCTCTGCTCATAGCTAACCTCCACTTACTTTTTCAATGAAAGCCAGAAGATGTGACGTGAATGGCAATGAGCTATTGTTTTCTGTTAAAAAATTTTAAACAAAATACTGTAAGGTAGCACACTCAGATGTTTTAGTAAATGGAGATCCTCTTTTAATGAAAAGAAAGAAAAATATTCTGTGATGCTTTAAGAGCAATTCTACTTAAAGGCAGAGGTATTGGCTAGATTGTATTTTTAGGTCCTTTCTAGCCTAACTCTATATTTGTATATTTATTTTATTTTTTGTTGTGTGTAGGTCATTTTATGTATCTTCTTTTTATTGTAAGATTTTCTTGCTTCTCTTATTCTTAATGTCAGCCAATTACTTCTGCAGTTTGTGCCTGTATTATTAAACATTTCGTCTTCTATATTGTCATTTTCTGCCAATTTTTGTATCTAGTTGAAAGATGATTTCATCATCTTTAGTATTCATTTTTATAGTTCCCCCATCACTGTACATTTTTTTCATTTGGCATTAGCTGTAACTTAATGTGATTTTTCTCACAAATTTTATACTTTGAAAAGGCATAAATTTTTTTGTGATGGTTACATAAACAGCCATCAAGATGCATCAACATACTAATTACTAATGTTTTCTCTCTGCATTTAGTATATATTTATAAAACCAAAAGGTATGAATTTATAGGGCCTTTCTAAATTATCTTTTTTATATTCTGACAAGATAGGTAGACAAAAATCAAGAGATTACATTTGTGAAAAATGCTTTTTTTGTTTTGTTTTAAACAGGTGTTATCCAAAAAATTGACTGAAAATCAAACTGAGCTTAGTGATTTAAAACAGAAGAGCCATGACTGTAACAGTGATGTTAACAAGCTGAAATCTTTACTAAAGGCTGAAGTATGTATATGTATTTTGTTTTTGCTTTTAATTATCACTGTATTTAAATAAGAGTTTTTAATAGAGATGAATTAAATCAAAGGTACATCTAGTAAAAGGTGATCATGACATTTTGAACACATCTGTAATATTTAGTGTTCAAGGGCAATAACAATAATAACTGAAGATGGATTTATTATAGCTTTAGAATTTCATCATCAGTATCATCATAATAATGACAAAAAGGTAACACTTGATATTTGTATAATAGTGCTTTAAGGTTTATAGAACTCTTTACAGACTTGTTATCATTTGATCCTCACAAAAATGCTTTGAGACAAATGTTGTTATCCTCATTTTGCAGATGAAGAAACTAAGATTTAGAGAGTAAGTAACTTATTTCATGGTTACTCACCTGGTAAATGTAGGAGGCAGAATCTGAAGCCTTTTCTCCCCTGTATACAAATGTAAAGCTTTCCACTATGCTATACTGCTTTTTGAGGATCTAGTAAGATGACTGAAGATGGCTTCATACTGAAGAAACTCTCTTTTACAATCTTGGAGGAAGTAAATTAATAATTTCTAATCCACCCCCCAACAGAAAAGAACCATTGTAATTAGAAAATGTTGGTCAGGGCTGCCTAACCATTTTGTGGATCACATTGCCCTGCTTGTTCTGGAATGATTGGTCTTTGTCATAAGTATTGTAATATGACTGCTTATCTAAAATAGTCTAATAGTGAACGCATTATAAGATAGCTGGCCAAAAGGGAATCCTGGGTCTATCTGTGAACTCATATGGAGGTCATTTTCTATAGAGTATAAAAGAAGAGATCATAGTTGGCTGGGTCCCAGCTTGAGTGTAAGTCTATACCTGATGGCAAGTAATCTGTGCTCTCCGTGACAGAGAGAGGGACCCAGGGAGCGACTGCACTCAAGGAGTCACTTACTCAAGTCTGACTGACTCTGGGACTTAGAGCCACTGCATCCCCTCCTCCATTCTACCATACAAAGGGCTCAAAATCGATGAGCCCGGCTCCTCTGAGAGTTGGAAGTGGTGACATTTTTAGTTTCAAAGCTGTTTCTACAGACAAGAAAAGACCCTAATTGTCTGTAACAGCAAATTCAAAATTGATTTTTCTGTTCCATGGACATCATTTCAAAGAAGTGCAGGGGACAGGGATCACCTCTGCCTTTTTTTCTTCTATTTTCGTGGAACCACTGTGGTTGTGTTCATTAGGAATCGTGTGTCACATATGTCTATTCCAGGTAAATATAAGAGCAACTTGAAAATTACCGGAGTGGACAAGCTTGAACAAGGATGATGGATGTAGGTATATATCCACTGGGAAAAGTCATACCCCAAAACATAAAATGTATTTACTAGATTGATACAGCTACACAGCATCCCACAATAACAATATTTTAATTTTTTATTACAAATTTCTTTTGCTTACCTTGTTTAATGATTTCTTAATATTAGTTAGTCAAGAATTACTTTGGGGGCTCTTACTATGTGCTTATTACTGTGCTAAGTATTATGGGAAAACTACAAAAGACACGCCCTTTGTCTGCATTAATAATAACAGTTGATGGATTTATAGCATTTTAAGGTTTGTAAGACAATTTACATATATTATCTAATTTGATCCTCACAACAACCTTGTGAGGTATATACCCTTTTATTATCCCCATTTTATGTATTGAAAAATGAGGTTGATGTATATTAAATGATTTGCTCAAGGTCAGAAAGCTAATGTGTCTGAAGTGCTATTCAAACCCAAGTCTTCCTGACTCCAAGTCTCCTGCTTTACCCACTGTCCTCAAAACAGGGACACCAGTTATAGGTAAAGTGATTACAATATATGTTATGTTTTGAGGGACACCTAAAGATCCTTCTCATAAATATCATCACTAAACTACTTTGTTGTCTAAGTTTCCATCATTAGAGATTCAGTCCTTTAAAATTGTGTCTTTAAGAGTCTGTTATTAAATTATGAAAATTCTTTTCCACCAACTTGATATTTGATAGTATTTAGAGATACCATTTTAAGTCATTGTCAACTATTATAAATAGTTGATATTTATAATAATAAACATATACTTACATTAATCATATAATCATCAGTTTATGTAATAAATTTAATATAAATTCAGTTATGAGATAGATGAGAGAATCGATACAGGTAAATTTTTGATGAGGGTAGATGTATGGGTCTGAAATTTATTTTGGCATTGGGACCTGGATATGGGGCATCACATTGTGGGGAATCTACAGCCCAGCAACAGTATGAATGTACTTAAGCCTAGCAAAAGGGACTGAAAAAGTGAAGGCAGAAGAGGGAATAATATTGAAGTTAGGTGAGTAGAGCCCTAAAGGGCAACTTTTCCTTCTTAACATTTTGGACTAGGAGTTTACAATCTTATAGGAAAGTAAACTTATTTACATTGACAGAAAATAAGACAGTTTAAGATAAAATATTAAATGTTATGGCATAGATAGTGAGTGAGTACAATAGGTATTCAGAGAATAGAGAGATTAATATGGCATAGAGTCATTAGAAAAGATGCAATATGTATATAGATAGATAGATACATGGATGGATAGATGGATGTCTTTTAATACCTAGGAGCAGCATGTGCAATGAGATATAACTTTGTCCAGGGAACTAATTTGGGGAACTTTGATACAAAAATATCTTTATTGGATCTTGCCTCCAGCGTAACAAAAAACATGTGTTAAATGTTGTTTGTTTAGTATTTTACAGTGCTAAAGGATTTTCATGACTAGTAAAAAAGATTCAGCTAGATATTATATGAAAAGGGAATTTTATTGTGCTAGATATAGCCTTTAAAATATCAGTTACAGTTAATATTTGAAAACTCATCTCATGATTTCATTGTCTTATTTTTACTGAGAATATTTATATGGAACATAAAACAATGAAATTGACTGAAAAGGTAGAGAGATAATGAGCCTAGCCATTATAGGAATAGTAGAAGTTATACATCTGCTCTCTGACAGACATAATGGGAAATAAAGCCTGGACCTCAGAAACTTTACTGTGCTCAAGTGGCTAGTTTACTGTATACACTGTAAGAGTTCAACTCAACAAATGTGTGCTGATTTTACAGACACAGCTGAAAAATTTCTCAGAGGAGAAAATCTGACTCAGAACCACAAGGTGGAAGTATTACACAGAATGTCATGTGTTCTGTTTCTCCTTCATTCTTCCTAGAACTCCAGATATTAGGATGATCAGAAGAGAGCCATAGATAAGAGAGAGAATATCCAAAGTTTGGGATATTTTTCTTAAGTTTAGACTCCTTTCTAAGGAAATAGACTGTTATTCCTGTTACCTCAAATATCACCTGAATGTTAGTATGATTGTTCCACTTACATATTTTAAAATAATGTAATAATGTCTGGTTTTTATTTTGTATAGCTGCCTTCTTTCCCCCTTGCCCCCAATTTCCATCAATCCCTTCATTATAAAGTTTTAAATACTCAAATACTGCTTCTACCTTTTGTACCTGATAGGTTTGCTTCTTCAGCAGTTATCTTTGGTGTCATATTTAATTCTTGGCTTCCAGGCAAAAATTGAAAAAGGTCCCATGACTGTGGATAGTAGTATATCATGAAAACAGGGCATGAAGCCAGAACTAGAAGAGTCAAGTGGAGTTGTGAACAGAATATTTGGAATGCTAAGAAACTAGATATCAAGAAAATAATATCTAACAGATAGTACTTTTAAGGTTTGCAAAGCACTTTTACATATATGTTAATTATCTCATTTCATATTATAACAGTACTATAAGGTAGGTGCTATTTTTATCCCCAGTTTACACATGAGGAAACTGAGGCTGAAAAGATTAAATGACTTCCCTAATGTCACACAGCTACCGAATGTCTAAGGCAGGATTTAAATTCAGACTCACTCCAAGTACAGTGTTCTATCCACTACATCACCTTGAAGTTGTCTGCTACACCAAAGGTAATTTGACAACTGTGTAATTTCTAGAGATTAAATGAAGGTAATCTGACAAGGAGCTAAAACCAGAGAATTACACAGGTGCCAAAATTCTAAGCAAGATCAGAACAAGTAAGGACCAGAAAACACAATATGGTAAGAGGGGATTAAGCTGGTTGAAAAGCCATGTTCTAGGAGAAACTCTCACAACTGAAGCCCCACAGAAGTGGACTAATGATAGCTTGGCAAATAGGCAGTTTTAGAGAATTAATAAAACACCATCTACTATCCCTACTTGAACAATAACTTTAGCCCTTAACTCTTCCATTACCATTCCATTATCTAGAGACCAAAGGAACTGTTTGAATAAATTGTAGAGTTTGAAGTGTTTATATTCCTGCTTGAAGGCAAGATGATTTCCCACAAGAGAGACAGACAGACAGACAGATAGACAGATGGGTGGATGGATGACCAAGTGTAAGTTGTCCATCTCTTTACAGAACTCATGGAATGAATTCCTTCTCTGTTGGATAGAATGAAGAGCTTTTAAATATGATTAAAGAAAAGATCCAAGAAGGGAACCAACCAGTGCTATTCGGAAGAAACAAAAATACTCTAAAGAGCCAGGGGTAGGGGATGGGGCAGAGAGTCAAAATCAGTGTTAAGTAGTTGATGGATGTAAGGCATGAAAGAAAGAAAAAAAGAAATTTTACACCCATAGAATTATAGGATAGATATGAGGCTCTTTTCATACAGTGTAGATAAGCATCTCACTTCACAAAATGAGAAAGCTCCATTGATATCAAAACCTAAGAAGAAACAGGTTACTGATCCTAAGAAAAAGATGTCCTGGTGATTAATGACCTCTTCATGAAAGTTTACATGAGTGGCTATAGGGACCTGATATGACCAATTGAAGGGTTTCTGTCTTCCTGGAATATGTATCTGGGACATGATGGGAGACCTTGTTGAGCCTTTCACTTCTGCTGACCATTATCCAGCTTTGGTGATTAATGTTACAGAAGAAACCTGAAAATAATTTGAAGGGAC